GAGTTGTGGATTATTTGTATAACTATCCACGCCATTATGGTCACCATCCGGTCCATCATCACCAATAAGTTGCATTTGACCACCAATTTGACTGATGATATTGTAGAAGTAATGCTATGTGTAATACAAATGTTATCTTTGAATGTGAAATGTTGTGTGTTATTAATTGAACACAATAATTAATTCAAAATGAAATGTTTATGAATTGCTTTGATATACAAAAATTCTTGTCTTTCAATACCACAGCGATTGTTTTGATGCCATTATTGTATTTGCATCGATTGACTTCACTTCAAAAATATATGTTTAAAATGATTGCAACATTTTATATGTCTTAAATATATGTTTAAATAAATATTTTTCATTACTTCATAAAAACTACTTGTGTCCTTAACTCTTAGCCTCCGATCGTCACCCTAACCACATCCGACTTGCAGTGAGTTTAGTAAATGCCCACAATATTGCCAAATCCCCCACGTGCAAGCGCATTGATATATTGCACTTGCCATTCAATATCAGGCAAAAATATTCAGCGCAACACTACACGGGACACAGGGGATGGTAGTGGTGCTAGTTTAATTAATGAAATATAAATATGAATAATATTTAATAAAGGGGTCAACTGATTTCCGTTGTGCGGTAATCGTTATAATTTTTAAACAAAATAAGATTTTTAATTCTGTATAATAAAGTTAAGAGCGTCATAAACGATAGTTCTTACCTTGTGGCTTTTCATCCTGTTCGTGCTCTTGTTGTGGCAGCGGTGAGAAGAGAGAAGGCGGGGTAACATGTTTTGGCCAATATTTATTGGCAAATTTTTGTTGGCGCGCTACAAATTACAGGCATGAATTTATGAAAATATTTTTCAATAAATTTATCAATTTTATATTAAAATATTTGTTTTTAATTTGCGAAATTAATTATCATTGTGAGCATAATTTAAATAGATATAAATGATGTTTAATAATTACGCTAATTAATATAACAACGTGCATAACTTTTACTAAAAAAAATTCTTATAGAATAATAGTAGTATACTGATAATACTAAACATACCTAATATATAAAGTATACTAAACCTATTATTAATTATAATTTATATAAATTAATAGAAACAAAGTTTGTAATACTTGCAATAAAAATTATGATTGTGTGTCTTTTGATTGCGATTTTGGCCATTACATGTGTATGCAATGCTTACGAAAATGGCAAATAAAAAATAACAAATACTGGATGAGAAGTAATCGGTACTTAATTGAAAGGGAATTCCATGGCAATTTACCATGTCTGCGTTGTGGTTCGGACACAAGATATATTGTAAACGCTCTTAAATATAAACAATGTGAATATGCTAACCTTGTGTATGGTAAAGAATATTTTTATGTAGAATTTGATTGAATGTATTGTGATTTAGACTTTCTGGAAACAGATTTTATAATTTCACCAAAATTTAAAATTAATGATTTTGTTTAATTTAAAAAAAAATAAAATTAAATACAATTATATTTCCAATGTATTTGAATTAAATAAAAATTTAATGGTAAATCTGTTGAAAGTCTATTCCTCCTTAACCCCACTCCTTCACCTTATGAGATTTATCATTTCATCATACTTTATGACATAAATTTAACATAAGTAATGCTAAGCCTATGGACAATGTTAAGTTTATGGCAATGCTAAGTCTATGAACAATGCTAAGTTTATGGCAATGCCAAGTCTATGAACAATGCTAAATTTATAGCAATGCTAAGTCTATGGTAATGCTAAGTCTACAACAATGCTAATTCTATTCTTTCTGGGTGCACTAGAAGCAGGAAACTGGATCCACTGGACTTGCAGTACCATGTACTGCACCCGGGTTGCGTTGGGTCAGTTTCTCTCGCGGCCACGCGAGCGTATTCGGGAACAGGATAACCGCCATAATAATTGTTACTAAAAGACATCAAGTAATGGTTTTTCCATTCACTCTCCTCGTCCACACCCCAGCGCAAAACCCTGGCCTCCGGTAGTGTTGCTAAATAAAATTATGTGATACATTTATAAGTCAGTTATTGTTTAGTTTAATTAGAAATATAATACAATATTGTGTTAATAATGTAAGTATTAAATATAATTGAAATTAATTTAAAGTTTTAATAATTATAGAGTTAATTAACAAACATTAAATGAGATAAATAAAGGCAATTACATGGCTGCTGTTGCGGCCGGACAAGGCGAGGCGGGGTGGTAAGCTCCTCCAACTTTAGCTTAGCGTTTTTGAATTTTTTTGTTGCTTATCATTGATTAAAAAACACATACTTTATTGTTTTTTAATTGTTGTTTTGGTTTGTTCTCGTCTTATTGTTGTTGTGTTTTTTTTGGTTAATATTGATTACTGGTTAGTGTGAAACCATGAGACATAGGTCATAAAATTTTGTTTAATACTTAATGTATATGTAAATTGTCTGTAAAGTGTCTGCATTATGTCTGTGTAATGTCACGTTTTTTTAAAAGTTTAAACACATTTATTATAGTTAGCGTACAGAAAACTTAAAAAACTTTATACAGTTTAAAATTATTTAAAATTAATTATTTTCCATATTAACTGTAATCAAATAAGCAAATTAAGTATATTATAAATAAATTAATCAATTAACAAGCGCAATAGTTGTATAATCTAGAATATAATACAGTATTAACTTGGTAAATATTTTTTAACGAGATATAGATACTCTAATACTATATTTTATACATATCCCCGTTCCTCTATACTATCATCCCACTAAGTAAGCCACATCAACAAATATAGGTGCATTACTACAAGACACCTATGAAATTTGCCCTACGTTTGCCAACCCACGGAATCTACCCATGCTTTAGGTGTGGTATTATTTTGTATACTGAGTATACTCACAACCCAGTAACGGATAGGTAAATTAGCTAAACAACAACTAAATTATATTCAGTAAAATTATATACCGCATTGCGGCATTACTAATCATTGGCTAACTTCACAAATAACTTAGATGACAGGGACTATAAAACTCTTCCTTTCTGTTTTTCTAGGCAATTCTTTGTCTAACAATCAACTGTTTGCATTATTTAGTGTATTACATTTGTGAATTGATTTTGTTGTAATTGTGATTGTATTGAACTCTATATTACTGGATATCTATATTACTGTAAATCTATATTGCTGTAGATCTATATTACTGTAACAATTAATAATCTGTTTAAAAACTAAAAACTAAGCTTACCGTTTACTCTACTTTACGAGAGGCCGTGGTGGCCTGAGAGCCACTTAATTTACGGTAAGAGTTACACCTAATCCTTTACACTAGAGTTTAATCGGCCAGCCCTCGAGTGCCGTTTGTTAACAGCCGCACGGAGGCTCGAGTGGTTGGTCCCATTGCAATATATTTACATGGTAGTTTCTAATAGCTCTTGATTATGATATGATACAAAAAATCAGTTTAAAACAAACAAAAAATAATAATAATGAATTAATAGGCAATATTATATTATTTATTACAAGCATTTTAGGACACTCTGGGTTACACTAAGGCCACTGGCAATCATTTTTATTATTGATGTTATGATTGTTGTTATGATTGACACCAGTATTAGCGGCACCGGTGGGCGCGCTGTTGATGGACCTAAATGGGGAGTTGTAAACAGTTTGGCAATGCGAACCAGGTACAAAAAATAATTGTATATTTAAATGTCTACTTGTATAGTGTACTAATAATTCAATAATATATTACACGTTACAATTGTTTAATAAAATTAAATTTTATTTTGCATTATTACATTATTATTTAAAATATTGATAAACAAAAAAGCTTTAGCTTGAGTAATTTTACAATAATATTGCGAAAGAACTTTTCAATACAACAAAATTTAAACAATATTAAAATTAAAAATTAAAATGTAATTTAGTAGAAGATGGGACTAATTAAACACACGATGACGTCATAGATTACTACAAAACATTACATAGCCTTACACAACATACAGCATAACCAAAAGGTCAATGCCTGACTTGAACTGAGATCCAATTATTAGTGTATTTGATTCATAACATGCATGATTAAGATTATCATTGTCTACAGTTCTAATATTATAACAAAATTTAGCATAAATTGTATAAAATGTAATTCATTAGGGCAATAATACATAATCTAAAGCACTGGTAGGTAATGGCCAAAGCCCTAGCCCGTGACTTAAAGTTATTGATTATACGTATATATAATTACAATTTATCGACTTATGCACCAAAATATAACGCATTTATTATTTAAGTGAAACCTATTTATCACATATTTTTTCTTAAACTATAATTTGATTTTTTGCTTCTCTTTTGACTATTTCTACGGCTATTCTGTTTTCCATTTCCTCAACTGTGACTCACAGAACAAATGATTGATACACAACACTGACAACGGATTGCAAAGCCTTCGAATTTTGCTATAAATAGACCCGAATAAGAGCTATTCTCAATAATTAAAAATGATTCTTTTCAAGTGCTGTTTGCCTCTTTGCGACAAGGATAATGAATTGCGTATAGCCGATTGCCCGCACCTTTTGTGTGTAAAATGCATATAAAAGGATATTCAATGCAGTTTTGAACTATATGGTGGAGGTGGTTGCGTTAACCATAGTTATGCTGAAAACGCGCCGAATCACGTACGGTGCCTTGATACGTTTTACAGATTTGAACTAGCTTATTTTGTTTGGGAGTAATTTAAAAATTTTTTTTATAGTCTGTCGCGAAAATTTTGGCATTTACTTTGCGCCTCTGTCTGACAAACGTCAAACAAAATTTGCCCAAAATTTTTATCGGGCGCAAAATCCGCAACCCCGCCGCCTACGCACCCGGAGCAGCCCAGCACCTCAACAACCAGGTAAGATTTTGCTATTGAATGCTTTTTACAGAATCAAATTATCTCTTATAATTTAATATTATATTTATGTTTAAAATTAATTTGCAAGCTTTTCCCCCACCCGTACTAGCGGTTGTGTTACGCCGTGTGGATGAGGACATCGAATGGGAGAACCAGTACCTCATGGAGCTTGCGAACGGCTATTATGGTAGTGATGGTGCTAATTCTCCGTCGTAAGTTTACTCTCTATTTTTAAACATAAATATTTAATTAATAATTAATCATAAAATAATTTTAAAAGTATTCTCCGACGAGTCCGTCGTATTCACCGACCAGTCTTGGCCAACCAAAAGCTGAACTTTGTGCTGTTGGTGGGGAGGACACGGGGCCAATACCCGGCTGTAGTTCCTGGTATTGTGAAAGCACCAGTACTATCGGTAGTGATGGCAACACAGCGACTACCAGTACCGCTAGTGATGGCAGTGGTGGTGACCATGGTGGTGTCCAAATACCTGGTGTCCGGTATTATAATACCAATTTCGATGATGCTTAGGATACCGACAGTGAAGACGACTGAGATATGGACCGGGAATTGACCATTGATTTCTCTAAAAACGATGTTAACCAGATTGTCATCATTGACAGTGATGATGATGACTAATTAAATATTATAACTTGGTGGCGGCGATCATGATTATGGTGGTGGAGAATAACCATGGTAATTGTTAATTACATTTATTAACTATAATTATAATAATTCAAATATAAAACAAGTATTTTATTATGAATTGAATAAAAAATTACATTTTTTGTATTACTATTATTGCCATTAAATGTTTGATCATACAATAATAAAATCAAACCTTTTAATCAATTAATTAGATTATAAATATTATAATTAAATGATATATTAATGTATAAAATCTATGTTAATTGAGTGCACAATAGCGTATTTACACGTAATCTTTTAGAAATAGAAATGATTTTTGAGAGCACCGTTTGCTGTAAAACAGCAGCCAAACCAATAGTCTGTACGGCACCGACACCTATGGGTCGGTCTTTGTCTGGGTCTTGAAGTAGTCCTTCCCTTCATTCCTGCGGTTCTTCGGAAACCTCTTTGCAAACGTCAAACGCTGTTCGGTTGTAAAACACAAAACATATTATAACCTCAATAATCACTTCAAACGCCATACCGAGAGAGTTGGTCGGCCGTCGGAAGCCGGCCGACACGTGACTGTCGACCGCCCGGAGCTGAAGGCCAACGACTTTGGACTCGCTGAACGTCAAGAGAATTAGAGTAGACATCTCTTTTTCCAAAACAGTCCAGTTTTGAGGGTTTTGAAAACAACAGGCGATTAGCGTCTGGACCAACACCGCCGACAGTCGATCGTCGCTGAAGTACTCGATGGGCAGCGAACACAACTGCTGGACGACAGTCGGCCGTTGGCCTGACTCTAACATTGCCTGCAATCAAACACACAGTTAGTTTGGGTAAGCATAAAGTAGACAGTTGTGTGGACACAGACCTGATTCTCATCGTTGAAGCCAACAAAGTTACCGACCAATAGAATCGTTTCGTTGACCAGCGCTTCCCTCTTATGGTGAGTGCAATACCAGAGAAGGTATGAACAGATGTGCCGGAGCTGTAGTGACAGCCCTTCGCCGCCCAAAACACATTATAAAAACACATAAAAACATTAGAACATAAACTGATAGGACAGCACAGATAGGCAAAGACACAGTACAGGTCACACATACCTGAACCACATTCAGATTCAATAGCGACACATAATTCAAAAGTCTGATCACTTCCAGGGTCAGATCCAGGGTATGGTCGACTGCAGGTGGGGTTCGATCGCCGTCAGCCCTTTGGAGCGCACCCGAGTGGAAGTGCACTCCGTAGATGAGGGACACAACACCGCCGATGTGTGTCATCTGAAACGTGAGCATCAGTTGTGTGTCGTCGGCGGCGAGACGGGCGCCGAACCTGTGCTCCATTCGAAATGCCATCAGTTTGAAGAGTGAGCTAAAAAAAAGACAATACTTCGCAGGCATTGGGTCAGCTCAGGGTTGTCGTCGACAGGGTCCCGAGGGTTGGCCATCATATGCGACAACTTATTAATCATTCCGACCCATACTATATAACTGTTGATATAATTATAGACATTAGTTATAGAGCTGATTTAGTAATTGATTGTCGGACACAATACCTGGTCACGTCTTGAATGATGTGATTGAAGGCCAGACTATCGTCAGTACTATATGTGAGCGTCGAGTAGTGGCCATAAAGTGTGTCAAAAATGGTGGACAGAAGTCGACAATGGGCTCCGACCACTATATCGCATGTCTTGGTTGTGGTTCCGCCACCACTATTACTCATAAAAGTTGTGTCCAAAAGCTATTGCATTAAATGAAAAACAAAGTAAAAACATAAACAAATACATAATCGAGCCATACATTGATCCGATGGCAGAGAATGTCCAACAAATCGATCACCAGTTGGGATTGCAGGACATTGTCGGGCACATCCAAGTGCTCACCGCAAAGCAGTTCGTAAAATGCGGCCAACTTAGCGTTTGACCAAGTCGGTGAGTGATGTGAGTCTCTCTCGGGTGCCGTTCATTATTCGGGACAACATTTTGGTCAACAATTGGACGCCATTTAGCGAATGAAAGTACAGGTAATCCGCGGCGCCGGTGCCGCCACTAGACAGAGTGCCATTGTTTTTACAAAACAGTATCTCCAACTCATTGAGATTACGCTCCAGACTGTGTGTCATTTTTGTCGACCAGTGGTTAGTGATTTGGTTGTCGGCGCTCAGCGTTGACAAGTTTTGCGAAAACAATACAAAATCATACAAATAATGGCCAAAACAAGCACTGGAACCGCTATCTATACAAATCTTAAACAATTTAATGATTTTACTCTTGTTGGGCGTCTGTACTGTCTTTCAGGTGACAACTTTAGGTCCCGAATTGGCTAAAAATTGTGCCGCTTTGACCGCCAGCCGTTGCTTCAACTTCTTGGTCCGCTTACGGGCCGTTAAAGGCGCGGCTCGTTATTGAACACAGCGGCCGTAGCAGTGATGATATCAATGCCAGCGGTGTTTGTAGTAGTGGGCATCACTAGATCTGATTTCTGAAAATGATGTCTCAAGTGATGTGATATTATTGTGTGTCAAATGAAACGCTCGTTGAATTCAATACTAAAACAAACATTCACTGTGAATGTGTCGCCAACTTCTGGCTCAAAATGACAATAACTGTCATTACATTTACACGTATGGTGAAAAAATAAATAACGTGTTTATTATTGTTTAAAAGTTTCAAAGTTTTAAAGTTCAATAAAAATGATGACATGTTTTATGTAAATTATTAATATTTTTACATTATATTATAATTATGTTTAATTTAAGTGCATCTACAACAATAAGGATTACAATTATTACATCAATCATGATGTAAGTAATATGTTATTAATTTACAAACACTTAATTATTTCAAAAAATACTAAACAATTTACAGATATTTAAGACATCGGTTCACATACTGACGCCGACACGGTGCCGGGGGAGAGGGATTGGTTCGAGTTTGAGGGCCTATTCATGCAATACAATAAATACTAAATAACTTGTAACGCAAATACGACCGACTGTACGGCAGTTATTTATTTTGCAACAAATGGCTTATGGTTAACGACGCGGACCTTTTAGGTTACATTATGGTGAAAGACTTTTACATATTTCCCAACAGATTTGCTATGAATTTAAACAAATCGCCGCTCCGGATAATGTTGTTCTTCATGCGAGGGGACGACCGCTGGTAACGGATTCGAGCGATAGTGAGTCCAGGGTTTACGTCGAGAAAGTTGCGCAAACTGATGCCCAGCATTTCCGTAATCGCCGACACGTTTGTCCAGAATTTAGATAAGTTTGCAGAAAATGGTCTCAGTAGATCTCAAACTGGTCGCCCTACCCTATCTGAACAACTTGATTATAGCCAACCTGGTTCTTCAACAGCCGCTCAATTCAACTATACCCGACAACCCGATGACCCTAACGAACCTGGTCCCTTTACACTCGGTCTATCTTTATCGCCAACTCTTATTGAGCAAGACAATACCCAAAATAAGCTAGAATAATTATTAATTTTTATTCAACATGCATTATCAATTATTATAAATATATTTGACCATGCCTAAATTTAATTTAAATATTTATTTAATTGTTAATATGCAGTATGCTATGATGACATAAATTAATTTAATGTACAGCCATTAAATTGTGCCCATCACTATATATGCAAGAATGATTTTTACGTTATACATTTTGTCATGTTATACAAATAACAGCATTTTATCATTGTCAATATTAAATTTTTTGTCGGCGGCAGTGAAGTCGCAGTACTCGCGGACGCATTCACACAACGCACTTGAGTTCGTAACGATCGCCGGTTGATTCAATTTCAAGCGCTTGTTTTTTAGACATCCCAAATTTAAGACCGCCCCGTGAGGTCATCGACCTGTTTTTAAAAATATTACTGTCCGACGCGTCAGAATCTGTAGCAGCTGAGCTACTAGGAGACCAGATATCCTTTTGAATCTTGACCATTACTACTCTTATTACTAGACCACGGATTGCGATTCCGTTTCGCCGTAGACTTGGCCACAATCGATTGTCTAGAAGTTGAGGCCAAGGATTGTGTTTGCGCGTCGTTAACAGCGGTATCGGCTTGTCTGAGAATACCAATAATTGGCCAGTTGTGTGACAAGTTGAGATCGTGTGGTGTAGGTGTTCATACAGTTAGGGTAAGTGCATCGGAATTTGCGCGGGATAGCGCGGAGGCCTCTGTTCTTAAAAGTGTTCAGGATATGATTGGTTAGAGCGGTGTGTTTGAATGTCTGATAATGGCAGCCATAACGCAAGCACGTTACAAATAGTCTTCTCATTGGTACACGAGTTTGGCCAACCGATTGACGTTGGTAACACACTTCCACATATAACTCGCCCGACTCAATGCTATGCCAATTGTCGTCCGAGTCTTCATCATTGATGGTTATACACTCCAAATGTGAATTGCAATACGAATGTATAATAAAGTGATTCATACACTTGTCAATAGGTTAGCAATATGATCCAGGTTAATCATCACATTTGCAGCGCCGCCCAAATTTAATATATCTTTTAAAATAATTTAATAATATTTATTGACAATGTATTATTTAATGTATTACATTAATTACTTACATTTAAATCATATAATTAAAGAATATTGTTTTGACAAGTATATTAAGTACAATAATTATTACCATAACAAAATTATAATCAAAAATATAATAGTTTTATTAAAATTAAATAATTGAAGCACTTTAATAGCATAATTTTGTTACCAAATAACCGAAAAATACATTCGCAAAATAAATCATAAAAATAATACAATTAATGTTTAATAGTAATAATAATAATTATCAAATGTAATAATTATTATAACAATAGCTAACACAATATTGTTAATTAAAATAAGCTTAAACAAATGTACACAATAATCAATGTAAATACATAAATACTAAATAACACAATCATTCATTTGTGAAATACATGATTAGGCGGTGTAACTGTATGGTGTTCGCATAAATAACCATGCTCATTTTGAATACCCACATCCCTGGTGATTGGCGTTGTAACATCTAGGATAAGATCGATGACATTCATATAGTCCAGCTCATAATCAGCGATATTTACTCCAGGTGTAATTAAAATAATAATAATAATAATAATAAAGTAATTCATATAAAATAATTTTAATATATAATAGTAATTAAAACATTTGTTTTGAAAATTAATATTAAATATTAATTTAATAATTAAATATTAAAAATTAATTAATTAATTAAATAAACAAATTATATTTTATATAGATTAATAATATTAACGAAAAATATAGAACAACTGCATTAAAGTGCAATTTCAATATGACTTAAAATCTTAATGTTTTATTTTAAAAACTCAAATTACGTATAATGTTACAAATTGTTTTATGTAACATGGTTAATTATTTATTTAATGTTTCCCTCACTGTTAATATAAAATTTTTAAAATACTACATGCAGTTTACATATGCGTTATAGTCTGTATATATAATTATATTATAAATTTTGATTTTATATTTAGTTTTAGACACAATTAAAATTTATGCATAGTTTACATTATACTAACTGATTATGATCAGGATAAGTTTACATTTGCCCGCCTTATTCAACGGAAAGATTTAGACAATAATATTCTAGTACTTTTCAATAGATCAAGTCAAAGTTTATTAATAGGTGGAGAGGAGCGAAACATGCAGTCAGGTTTAAAATTATTGAAACAAGGATCACACAGCGATGCTATACGTTAACCACAATTCGGGAAATGCATAAAAGATTTTCAATTTTTCAATACTATTGTTAGAATACTTTTACTATTATTATTTTGAGAATGTTAAATGTTTTTGACAACAATTAGTTCTATTTATTATGGCAGATTCATTTAGTATATTTCAATAGAAAAAGCATCATCCCATTGAAATAACATTAATCCCATAGACTTAGCATTACCCATGTGATTCCTATGTCATAGACTTATCATTGTCTATAGACTTAGCATTGTCTATAGACTTAGCATTGCCCATGTTATTCCTATGCCATAGACTTATCATTGTACATAGACTTACCATTGTCCATGTTATCCCTATGCCATAGACTTAAGCTGTAATCTCATAGAAACCCATGTTAAAGCATTCTCCCATAGACTTATCATTAGTCCCATAGGATTAACATTGAGAAAAACTACCCTTTCCTTTCATATTTCGCTTTCCCATAGGAAATTTTCTTCCATAGGATTAACATTACCCATAGGATAACATTAGCCCATGTTAAGTCTATGGAAAAAGCTCCATAGGATTAGCATTACCCATGTTAAAGTATAGCCATAGACTTAAGCTGTAATCCCATGTTAAATCCCATAGAGCGAGGGGGAGGGGGGAGGGGTAGCCGAACGATCCTATAAACCACATTATTCATACTGAATTGTGGTTAAAAATATTCAATGACTGGTCTGTGGAGAGACCGATGGAAGGATTATCGGGTTTGAGAAAATACCAGTGCATTGGTCTTACTATTCTCTCTATATATGACATGTTTATGATGGTTAGGACTTAACTTTACATTCTTAATAGATTTTGTGACTTTTAGGTAAAACAATAAAAAAAAATTCAGTTCAAACACTAACTGCGTCCCATAAACATAACATTAGTAGTATCAGATATAAACAAGCCTTACATAACATAGTGTGATCAAAGAGTTGGCATACCTCCCAAAAATCCCAAATAAGAGGTATGAGATGTGAGGGGTGGGGTAACTCTGTTGGTCAAACTTTGCGCGCTCGCACACACACAAATTGTACGGCACTCGTACTGAAGTACGGCCCCAAAGTATCAACATCACGAATGTGTCAATAACAAGTGCCTTGTACCTTTTAATTTAATTGTTGTCCATTTTATTGTGTTTCAATAAATAAATCACCTAAGTGCATTAATTGTGTTTTGTGCTAGCTACTGTTTTTGGACTCACCTGGACTATAGTGACCGCGTACGGACATCTGGCCAGCTCACCACCACAGGACAAATTTAGCAAGGTACTTTTATCGGTACGGGTCGGTAACACCTGGATTAAGTGAAGTGTACCCTAAGGGTCCGGGTATACCTCACATAGCAGCGATGGCGATGAATTCACCCCCATAAACCCATATTAAACAATTAAATTTATTACGTATTTTTTAAAAAAATAAATAATTAACTAATGTTTATATAATTTAGAAAGTAAGCGAGAACTCACCATGGTCAACGTAGCGGCCTAACGACGCAAGTAGCCACTACCGCCAGTGCGTGCGATAGACGTGCTGACCCGTGTTCGGAAAGCTATATGCCTACCCAACACATTCCGATATAATAACAGTTAAAAATGTCTGCGCTTCCACGGCAGCTATAAAATTAACAGACATGTTTTGTTGAATGATATGCATTAAAAATACATTAAATTAAGAGGTAATGCAAGATTTAGATCAGATTTCAACACACGTTTGGATCACATGATTGTCATTACCACTGCTCTGCCGTTGATTGAGAGACAAATACTCTATATGAATGATGATATCAATGGATCATAAAACGACATACAACCTGTATTGACACCAGAAAGCGATTGCATTCCATTGTCTGCAACTGAAAAGTTT